AATTGCTGAATGGGGTGCAAATGGTACGATCTAGAGGGGTCTACAAAAGTGTCTCCCCTATGCCTGTTATCCATGGATGAGAGGTGAAATATCTCTAGAGCTACACCCTAGGCTGTGGGATGAGAAAACATAGTAAAATATAGAGGGCTTCCAAAATGGGCACCTAAGCGCTTCGCCACTCTAAATAACTTGTCCCACTCCCATGCCCATGTGGGCAGATTATTAAAAGTCTAAGGACACCCCTAACCCGTGTACAGAGGGTGAAGGTTTAAAACGAAGTGTGAAGGGGCAGCTTAGAATAACCATGTGCCTGCCTTCAGGATGTTATGAACTGTAACTTCTATCACTGTCAGGTAAAGGCAGGAGGAATACAGTATCTGTATGTCTTCCCTAAATATCTAATTGACATGCACATAATTGCCACCCTTGTACTTAAAGGAACACTAAAAGCACCATAGGCATTACAGCTCACAGCAATGCTCATGGTGACAGTAGTGGCCCCGTGTAACTCCAAACTTAAGGCATCAAACTGTTTTGAATGGTTTGATTTCCTAATTGGGGTCCACAGGGTGCCACTCCTCGCTTCCATTACTAATGCAAGAGAGTCATACATTTCATACGTTAACTTTCTTGAGCTAATCCTTGCAGTGCAAGCTGTAGTTGTTATGGTGCTAGGAGCATTCTGTTAATATAAAATTACTTTAAAGTTAAGTAAAGGATAAACTACAATTCTGTCACTGTATAGCAAAGGAGTGGGGTAGGGAAAGCATGAGACACATCTTCATCCATGGATGAGTAGCTTAGAAGGACTCTTTCTATCTTTAATAAAATGTTCCCATTACACAGCTCTGGACATGGAAATGGGATCATGTAGATTGCATGGATTTGGAAGGTCCTGCTTACACCCCTAAAATTTAAGTGTTTCTCTCAAGTTTTGTGAGGTTCAGAAGTGAGCTGGTGCAGGTTGCAAGTTGCCTTCTTTTCTCTGTGTGGTTCACTGGGATCAAGTGATGTATAATCACGTTGATCCAGTTCCAGCACTCCTATGTGTCAAGGGCCTGGTTGGAGGCTAGGAAATGTAGTCCGGTATGGGAACATGTTTCTTTCCCCCAACCATACTACATAGCGTTAAAAGGACCAAAGCAGGCATAGGTACTTTACCAGGAGCTTGAAGAATATTGAACTATATAAGTATGTATCTGAATATCCATATCTAGTGTTTTTCTTTTGTGTTTTAGTATATTTTCATAGCATTGTTTTTAATGTAATTGCCGAGACATCAGAAGGCACACTGCAATATAACTTATCCCGTGTTGGTGGAAACAGCGCTGAAGCAGCAGATGTATAGTATCAGGGCTCAAAATTTCCACTAGTCAGTGGTGTTTGAAAATTCAATCCTGATGAGTAGGAATTCACCCCTCGTGAGTGGGCCATAGGCCCTCCAGACTTGCAGTGATGAGTATCTTTTACGACTTGTCTAGTATCGTAGGAAAATTTGAGCCCTGTACTGCATAATAGTTGAACATTTCCATAAACGCTTCCATAAATGAGCCCTTCACATTAAACGTGCAAAATGAGAATGAATAAATTCATAGAGAAAAATAAGCAATAAGATCTCAAATGTGTCAGAAAAAGGTTAAATTTATATTGTGTTTGGTACCTATTAACATAACAATATTGAGCTATAACTATTAATTTCCAACATGATTAAAAATGAATTTGTTTTCTCAATATGTATTTGTATTGTTTAAAGCAACAATGAAGTTGTAATGGTGTGAGGACGTCCCCGTGTGCCCAGTGGCGTACACACAATCCATGGGGTCCCAGTGCGAAACTTATCCATGGGCACCCCCACCCTATTTCCGCCACTCCCCCCCCCGACAGACACACACGTTTTTATTGAACACACCATGTAAACATTCACAGTGCAGGTGGAAAAAGCATGTGAACACAAACACACACATTCACTAATGACATCTCCAAGAGCTAATTGGAGTGAGATGTCAGCCAACTGGAGTCCAATCAATGAGATGAGATTGGAGGTGTTGGTTACAGCTGCCCTGCCCTATAAAAAACACACACCAGTTCTGGGTTGGCTTTTCATAAGAAGCATTGCCTGATGTGAATGATGCCTCGCACAAAAGAGCTCTCAGAACACCTACAATTAAGAATTGTTGACTTGCATAAAACTGGAAAGGGTTATAAAAGTATCTCCAAAAGCCTTGCTGTTCATCAGTCCACGGTAAGACAAATTGTCTATAAATGGAGAAAGTTCAGCACTGCTGCTACTCTCCCTAGGAGTGGCTGTCCTGTAAAGATGACTGCAAGAGCACAGCACAGACTGCTCAATGAGGTGAAGAAGAATCATTGAGTGTCAGCTAAAGACTTACAAAAGTCACTGGCAAATGCTAACATCCCTGTTAGCGAATCTACAATACGTAAAACACTAAACAAGAATGGATTTCATGGGAGGATACCACAGAGGAAGCCACTGCTGTCCAAACAAAACATTGCTGCACGTTTACAGTTTGCACAAGAGCATCTGGATGTTCCATAGCAGTACTGGCAAAATATTCTGTGGACAGATGAAACCAAAGTTGAGTTTGTTTGGAAGAAACACACAACACTATGTGTGGCGAAAAAAAGGCACAGCACACTAACATCAAAACCTCATCCCAACTGTGAAGTATGGTGGTGGGGGCATCATGGTTTGGGGCTGCTTTGCTGCATCAGGGCCTGGACAGATTGCTATCATCAAAGGAAAAATGAATTCCCAAGTTTATCAAGACATTTTGCAGGAGAACTTAAGGCCATCTGTCTACCAGCTGAAGCTCAACAGAATATGGGTGTTGCAACAGGACAATGACCCAAAGCATAGAAGTAAATCAACAACAGAATGGCTTAAACAGAAGAAAATACGCCTTCTGAAGTGGCCCAGTCAGAGTCCTGACCTCAACCCGATTGAGATGCTGTGGCATGACCTCAAGAAAGCGATTCACACCAGACATCCCAAGAATATTGCTGAACTGAAACAGTTCTGTAAAGAGGAATGGTCAAGAATTACTCCTGACCGTTGTGCACGTCTGATCTGCAACTACAGGAAACGTTTGGTTGAAGTTATTGCTGCCAAAGGAGGTTCAACCAGTTATTAAATCCAAGGGTTCACATACTTTTTCCACCTGCACTGTGAATGTTTACATGGTGTTTTCAATAAAAACATGGCAACATTTCATTCTTTGTGTGTTATTAGTTTAAGCAGACTGTGATTGTCTATTGTTGTGACTTAAATGATGATCAGATCACATTTTATGACCAATTTGTGCAGAAATCCATATCATTCCAAAGGGTTCACATACTTTTTCTTGCAACTGCACATACAAACAGACAGGCACACATACACACAGACACACACATTCAGACAGACACACAGACACAAACAGACAAACAGACACACACACACACATACATACATACAATCAGACAAGCACACAAACACACACACACAGACATACAGGCAGACACACACACAGACATACAGACACACACACATACAAAGACAGGCACACATACAGACAGACTTACAGACAGACACATACAGACACATGCACATACAAACAGGCACACATACATACAGGCAGACAGACACACAGACATACAGACAGACACACACATACACAATGTTTGTCACCCTCCTTTTTCCTACCTTTTTTGTTCAGGAGGGTGACTTTCCCTGGGGGCAAGTGGTGGCTCTGGTGGATGGGAGTCAGAGTTCCCACTCTGACTCCCTCTGCTTCCTCCCGCACGGCTCTCTATATGCTGGTAGGAGTGACGTGCGGTCACTTCCTCCCAGCTCTGTGTGATCTCATCACAGGGGGCCCAGTCGAGCTGTTAAAGCGCCCAGCGCTGACTGAGCCCCCTGACAATCCATTACCATCGGGTGGCCCTGACAGCTTGGGCCACCCGATGGACCGCTTGGACGGCGGCCCCGGCTGTTAGCCGCAAAAGATGATGGCGGGTACCCGGTCGCAGGGGTCCGCAGGGTGACCTCGGTATGTACGCCAGTGCTTGTGCCATCTTACTTTAAATGGTTACTTCAAAGTCTGTAAAATGGCGACCAATTACCCTGCCCTTAATCTCTATGTAGGTCCAAGGCTTTGGTCAGGAACCTCAGACCGGGTGTTGCTGATTGGCTGAAACTCTCTGCCTATCAGTAGTTTCCCATTAGGAAAAGTGAGTTAAAAGGTGTCATTGTTATGTATTTGATATGGAGACCGGAGTGGTCCTTTAACTCCAACTACCACAGACAAACATAATTAGAGGAAACAGGAAACTTCATACAAATTATTAAATAAATCAATATATCATTAAAGAAAAACCTCCAGACTTAGCTGAATGGAGACCAACAGGGATATTCACTAAACTACTGTCAGACATTCATTATGAATTTGCTAATTTTAGGTCAAACAGCCATACTGGAAAAATTCACCAATCAGCTATGAAGTTCTCTGGTGATTTCCTAACAAATCATGCAGGGCTCGAGTCCTGTAGGAATGTGTTGGAACGGCGTTCCTGCACTTTTTCCACAACAGGAACGCCATTCCCGTTACTAGTCCTGCAGGACCCAGGGCTGGCACAAGCGGCCTCCAGAGCAGGGGGGAGCACAAATCCGAATCCCCTGCCTCTGGCTGGGGACTCGGATTTTTCAACTCACCTCTCTCCCTGCAGCCTGCAGCCAGTGGAGTCGGCCGGCCTCTCCTGATGATGTCATGAGGAGGGGGCGTGACTTTCACTGCTCTTCTCCCTGGACTGCAGGGAATACACTTTAAGTTGTTGTTTTTTTATCCCCTTCCTCAGGCCCTGTCCCCCTCCTCAGGCCCTGTCCCCTTCCTCAGGCCCTGTCCCTTTTCTCAGTCCCTGTCCCTTTCCTCAGCCCATGTTCCCTTCCTCAGCCCATGCCCCCCCCCCCTAAGTTCCTGTCCCTCTTCCTCAGCCCTGTCCCTCTCAACCCCTGCCCTTCTTCCTCAGTCCCTGTCCCTCTTCCTCAGTACCTGTCCCTCTTCCTCAGCCCCTGTCCCCTTCCTCAGCTCCTGCCCCCTTCCTCAGCCCTGTCCCTCTCAACCCCTGTCCTTCTTCCTCAGTCCCTGTCCTTCTTCCTCAGTCCCTGTCCCTCTTCCTCAGTACCTGTCCCTCTTCCTCAGCCCCTGTCCCCTTCCTCAGCTCCTGCCCCCTTCCTCAGTCCCTGTCCCTCTTCCTCAGCCCCTGTACCCTTCCTCAGCTCCTGCCCCCTTCCTCAGTCCCTGTCCCTCTTCCTCAGCCCTGTCGTGAGGAGGAGCTGATCTGAGTCATGCTAGCGGCTTGAGGAGTAAAGGGTGAGACACAAACAAGAAATGCAGCGTTATGCCTAGCATTTCTCTCGGGGAGACCCAATGTATTCCCGCAGGTGTCAAATTCAACATCAACTCTATAAAGGAGCCACAATCCTACAGGTAGTTTACAATACCGTACGCTTGACACCTACTTAAATATACTGTTGAAGTATAATTGGGGAGATGACATGAAGGTGGTGAATTTAAACTTGGAAAAAAAACTACACCACGCTATGCTGCAGTACTACCTTGTTACAGTGTTACAGTTTTCTGAAACAATGGGATGGCAGCGATACAATGTTGCAGTGTTACAGCTCTGCCAAGTAGCGAAGGTCGTGAAGATTTGAAAAACTATTCAGTGCTACAGTGTTGCAGTATTGTTAGTTCTGCTCTCCTAAAAAACATGAACGGCTGGAACAAAGTTCTACAGTGTTATAGCTTCCCCTATTCCGTGAATGGCAGGAATGGAATGATCATTTTAATCGGGTAGGACTTGTTGTTTTTTTTTAATTCCCTTCCTCTCTTATTAAAAAAAAAAAAAATTATTTAAAAGGCATAAACGAGTATGATCTTAAATTTATAATTCAATATTTAAGTTAATTGAAGAATAAAGAGACTTACAAATATAACAGAGAGGATAATAGAAGATATAGTAAAGATATATTAAAATAAAAAATAACAAAAAAAGGGAAGGAGGAAGATTAAGGAAACACATAAAAAAAAGCAAAGTAATGGAAAATAAATAAAATAAAAGGCAACTTAACTATTAAGCAAGGAACAGTTTCATACAAACGTCATACAAGTTTATATAAGCTGGTATTAATGGCAGTGACCACTACATAACCAGACCTTCTCATTTCTAAGCTTCAAATGAAGACAGCATAGTGTATGTTTTCCTCTCAAATTAATTTACTTTGATTAAGTAAACAGAAAAGGAGGGGAAGAAGAAGAGAAAAGAAAAAAGAGGGAGCAAACAAACCTTAACTAAAGCCACATTTATTCCCTTTATCCTCCAAACTCACCACTAAGAAGAGTACACAAAAGGAGAAAATTATACAATCTACAAGAGTACTAATTCAAAATGTCCCACAGAACAAAAGAGTAAAGCTGCAAAAGCCGATAAAGCTGAAAAAGCATCCTTCTTCCTGGCAAGAACTTAGACACTAAAAGCTTGCGAAGGTCTGAATACCTCCCAAGCTGTCCTGCAACAGCTCACCTTCATCCCCAGCGTCTCCTGGTTTGCCTCCAGGTGACAGACCCCCTACGATGGGTACAATGAGGACACTTATGGTTGAGCTGTCAGATACCATCCAAGCTACAATCAGAGGTCAGATGCATGTTGTGACTGCAGAATTGAAGAGGGAAATCCAAGAAATTGGCCAACGCACAGACCACATATGAATATGCTGGAGCCCACAATTCACTAGCTGATAAGCTGCATGAACATGAGGTTTACCTGGATTCTGTCCAACTAAAGCTTGCTGATATAGAAGACCGATCCTGGAGGAATAATCTTCGCATATGAGGAATACCAGAATCAGTGACGGCGCAGAACTAGAAAACTTTCTAGGCAACTTTTTCCAGGCGTTAACTCCTGAACAACCCCCTTGACATGCTTCTAGTGGATAGAGCTCCCAGGCTTCGCAGGCCTATGCACTTACCATTGACAGCAGCCAGAGACATAATCACACAAATAAATTTTTTTCCTGCCAAGGAGAAAATTATGAAAGCAAGCAGGAAAGCGGGATTACCTGAACCATTTACCAATATAAAAATATTAGCAGATCTTTCCACTGCTACTTTACAGTTCAGAAAAGCCATGCAACCGTTAACAATTACCCTACGTGAGCACCAAATAAATTATAGGTGGGTTCACCATCAGGACTCTCTCCACACCATTACAACCATGGGCTGAGCAAGCTACGTTAATGGAACATCCCGACTCCTACTGTTAACACAAGCCAGCAACACTGCCGAAAATGTCTTTAGAATGGTCCACTACATAAATGTCTTGCAACAACCTTTTGTAGAACTATAAGTAACTATTATAATAGCACCACTACCATATTCTGGTATAGGGTATCTTTATTTTATTTAAACATTATATGTTATAATTATTAATATGTCTGCGGATGGGGACATTCATATTGGCATAACTATTCGAGTTAAATACAAAGTGAAGTTCTGACTTTATTTGGTTACGGCTTAGACTAATTACATAAATATATAATCTAAAAAAATTTTTTTTAGAAGTTGCTAGGCTTTCTACCCTTATTACCCACTATAACCAATTGTTCAGAAGCTTTAATAGCTCCCTCCTCTCATGAGTGCTCCTAATTATGGAGCATCTCATCTCCATGTACTATTTGATATATCAAAACCAAAGGTTGCAATCATCCTAATCTATATATAGCACAAGAGCGAGGTTCTAGAGAGTACCCAAATATATGCAAGTTAAAACTAAGGGACTACTTAGCATATATACTATACATTATTGGTCCCAGATGCACTCTAGGTATTATATTATATTGAATTACATATAGACTAGTATGACAATTGTATCTTTCAATGTAAAGGGTTTGAATTCCCCTAGTAAAAGAAGACTTCTCCTTAGGGATATAACTAAACAGGGCATTGATGTAGGATGCATACAAGAGACACACTTTAAACACGGTAGAGAGCACGCTATATTCACTAAGCACTTTCCGGTTCAATATCATGCCGTTTCTGACCACAAGTCAAAAGGGGTATCTATTCTTATACATGAAAATGTAGCCTTCTCTGAGCAGAAAAAAATAATAGATCCAAATGGGAGATGCATCTTTGTTACAGGGCTGTTTAATGATATTCAATACACCATTGTCTCTGTATATTTCCCCAATGAAAATCATAAAAACGTCTTTCAATCTCTGTTATACAGAATGGATTGGTTTAAACAAGGTTATGTAATACTGTGTGGAGATTTTAATTTTATTCTATACTGCCAACTTTGATACGTGATGTTCAAACGGTGTTTGTGGCTGGACGTAAGGGACTGGATAATACCAGAAAGCTAATGCTGATTATGCAACATTTGAGGAACACCAGACGGGGCGGTCTATTTTTAGCACTAGACCGAGAAAAAGCATTTGACCGCCTCAGATGGTCATTCCTCAAACAAGTAATGGTTTCGTATGGATACCCCCCTCATTTTTTAACCCAGATTTTTGTGCTTTATAGTGATCCACAAGCACAGGTACTTCAAACGCGGGCTTCCTCTCCTCTGCTTTTAAAATCACTAACGGTACTCACCAGGGATGCCCACTGTCCCCATTATTGTACGTTTTGGCCTTAGAACCCCTACCGCACATAATTAGAAGACATCATGATATTAAAGGAATAGAATTCTGCAATAGAGAATATAAAATCAGCACATTCGCGGACGACATATTATTATACATCACTGACCCCCTTAGTCCCCTACCACCACTCCTGGAAGTCATACTATAATATGGACAACACTCTTACTATTCGCTGAACACCTCTAAAACACAAGCACTTAGCATAGGGATAGATAAATTGTAGATTATGCTAATGGAGTGTAACTATAATCTTAATTTTAGGCGAATATTTGCATAATCTTTCTTTACTAAACAACTCCAGCAGCACAGAACAATCAAAAGTTTTAACCAATCAGAATCAAGAAACATTTCTACATATGTCTCTGTGGTGTCTGCCTCTTCCTCTTTCTTTGAAGCAAAACTAGTAGAACAACGAACAACAATAGCGTCCATAACGTAGAGGATCTGTCAAACTTCCTCAAAAGGTGTAAACGACAGGTTACCCATGGTAGTACAGTGTAGATTGCCATTTTTCATACTGAAAGGAACAGAAATTAGTGAAAGGCAACGAAATGACCGTTTTTCATGCATACTACTGATCTGCCTATTATAATTTGTACAAAATGAGGGAGGCTACAGAACAATTACTGAAATAATTTATTTGTCCTGATGTGGAAAATACTTCCTATAGCTAAGATTTTTATCTATTTTAGTATTTATATGTTAGATATTTGAATGACACTAAATGGTCAATATAGCAATATAGCAATCTTTAGCTTAATTAAGTGGTTTTGGTGCACAGATCATGTCCCAGCAGTCACATTGCATAAATATAAAAACAAGTGGAGCAGTGTTACTTGGTGTTAAAACTCATTCAAAGCAGGGAAAACAACTTAATTGCTTAATTTTCTGCCATTTGGGAATTACATCACATTGTTTATGCAGCCCTAGACTCACATCCATGCAAGCAGCCTGAATAACACTTCCTGTAAAGTGAGATCTAATGTTTACACTTCTATTATTGCAAATTCTGTTTAAGTTAGAATTTCTATTCTCCTGCACTATTAATAGCTTGCTATACCTTGCAGGAGTCTCCTGTATTTGATTAATGTTCAATCTACAGGGCAGGACATAAAAACTTCTAAAGTAAGATTACATCTGATTGAAAATGAAAGCATTTTTGTTTTCATGCTGGCTGCGTGAATGTTATGGTACCTGTTGCTGTGGCCCAGGCTAGTACATAGCCTGGGGATATCCTGCAAGTGGAGGGGGACCTTCTTTATGGCCCCTCTCCTCAGCAGTTTTGATGTAGCTTTGCCCCTTTTATGATGCCACTTGCCCGCCAAGCTATTCGAACCTTTTGTGGGCAAGACTAATATTAGAGAGCCACTCTTTAAAAAGGTTGTCAGGGCATAGGTCCTTGCCCTCTTGTTGTTCTAACATTGATCCCAATACCACATTTCTTGTTCATTATTTCTTGTTCTGATCTTGGCATTAACTGATAATTCTACTTTCTAAACTCCTTTGACTCTGTTATTATTGTTTAGCTATTCCTGATTTCTAGATTCCCTGACTATGGCTTTTCCCTGATTATTCACTGTCCTTGAACATAGAAAACATGTACTGGGTGGTGCACACTGTGAGAAAATACCAACTATACACAGTGAAATGGTGAGTATAACACGTATAAGATGGTATAAATACCTTTATGTATATTCTTTATCAGATACAGCTGTAAAAAGATGATAGCTAACATATGGTATTATAGTTTGATCAATATATAAAATGCAGGATGTGTACAAACATCTCACTCACATGTTAATGAGCCACTTTTGTCCAGCCTGAAAATTTACCATTAATGACAACTCGTTGTACTCTATCCTTAAGCCAATGTTCTACCCAACAACAAGAATATTCATCTAGACCAATTTCTTTTAGTTTGAAGACTAACCTATTGTGAGGAACCATATCAAATGCCTTGGCAAAATCCAAGTAGATCACATCCACTGCAATACCCTGATCTATACTTCTACTTACTTCTTTGTAGAATGCAATTAGGTTAGTTTGACATGACCTATGTTTCATAAAACCATGCTGATTATTGCTAATAACAAAGTTCTTCCCAATGAATTCCTGAATTTTGTGTTTTTTTTCACTGGATTAGTATCCTTTTTTAATTACAGCCTATAACATACCCTACAGATAGACCCAAGATAGGATTCATTATAACCTTGCTGATTGATAAAGTGCTAATTTGGGCTAATCCCTTTTGGGAGAATGTCAGCCTGTTGATATACCATATGCTGCTTTCATTGATACTTTCAGGAGGATGAGGATGTTTCATCCTCCAGGTAGAAAAACGAATGCAGCCAGATCGCTCCTTTAGATCACGCTTTAGAATTTAGGTCTTTATCTGCAGAGGTAAGATGGACCAATCAGGCGTTTGTGGATGTTTTCCCTAATGGTCTGTTGGATGGTATTTTGGATGGGGTATCCACCAGGTATTTTCTGGAAAACTCAGATGATTTAATTTCTTATCTACCCTGTATAGAAGAACTTATGTGGCATAAACAAAACTAGAGACAGATCCAGAATGTCTAATATTAGATTTCATCATTTATGGCCTAAGCTCTGTCTAAACCTATGCAATTGGGGGTGAACCCTGGTTAACCTGACTGGTTACCTCCGCTGATTTCTCCTCTCAGCCAGACTGGAACCCTTAAGCACTTAAGCATCCATTCCCTCAGTAACTAGACGAGACATAGTTCTGGGAGTCAACTGATTTTATTCTAGCCGCACACAGCTTTTATGCACTGGTCCCTAACATGGGGTCTCCAACACAAAATTACAGGGTTTTCCTACCCAGGGTCCTCTGTGCCTAAGAGATAATTGCGTGAGAAAACTATAACTCAATTATCTAAAGTTTTGACCAACCGGACACAAGGTGATGGCCCAAAACAGTTTCAGGGAAATAGGTGCCCCGGACGGTTTCCATTCGTGGGTTCCTGTGCGAAAACCATACAAGGGATTCTATTGATTTCAGGGAGCGAATGCTCCCCCCATTCGGTAGTTCCCATCTCCTGAAATGCCGTTCGTATAGTTGGTTGGGAAGTAGGACGGGGTATAATCTTTACCGGGGTTCGTGCGAGTGCCTAGCCGAAAAGAGTTGCAGGTACTCTATGACCAAGTACCGCTGTCCACGTTCGGGAGACAAAATGGCCACCCAGGGGAAGCATTCATTAATTACTTCCCTGCGGTTTCGCACTTAAGTTAGTAGGTGAGAACATTCTAATGGGTTACCAGGGTGTTGAATGCAAAGTGTTGTATATTATAACTCCCGAATGGAAAAAATATAACACACAAATCCATACGAATTTGACAGTAGATTCCGCCACACAGCTCCCCTTTAACCACAAGCTGACATATACAGTCTGATCCTCACCGATCTTGGGGATGTCCGGAGGAGTACTTACAGATCATTTCTCAAGTTCTGTGTGTTGTGGTAACCCGTCGGCATTTCCATTTTGCTTACCGGGTCGATAATGAATTGTAAAGTTATAGGGCTGTTATGCCAGGCTCCAACGTAATAGCCTGGCATTGTCTCCAGTGACCCAGTTAAGCCATACCAACGGGTTGTGATCTGTGAGTAATGTAAATTGTTGGCCATAGATGTATGGCTGCAATTTTTTAAGGGCCCACACAACCACCAGGCACTCCTTTTCAATGGTAGTAACTTTCTGATGAGGTAAGCTACTGGATGTTCTCTGCCATCATCCCCGACCTGGCTCAGCACTGCTCCCATTCCAAACATAGAGGCATCTGTGTGGATGAGAAAGGGTTCAGTTAGACTAGGAGCAGCCAGGACGGGTGCATTTACAAGAGTAAAGTGCCTGAAATGCTTGCTCGCACTCTGGGGTCCAGCTTACTAGGTGGGGCAAATTAATTCAGGTCAGGACAGTGAATCACTTGGGTCTTAGTGTGTAGGAGAGGCCAATTGACTACTGCCTCAATCTTGGCCAGTTCAGGCTTCTGTTTCCTACACCCTGCTCTGTGCCTCAGGTACTGCACCTCCACGGATGGGTTTTAGAACCAAGACTTTTTGTCCAATTTGGAAACTACGGTTCCTAGCTCCCCAATTATACCAGGTGTGCTGTCGCTGCTGGGCTGCCTGTAGTTTCTCACGTACTTTGT